TGCAACCTCTGCCTCCTGTGTTTGAGTGATTTTCCTACCTCAGCCTCCTGAGTAGCTGGGATTACAGGTGCCTGTCACTATGCCCAGCTAATTTTTTTGTATTTTTATTAGAGACAGGGTTTCACCCTGTTGGCCAGGCTGGTCTTGAACTCCTGACCTCATGATTCTCTTGCCTCGGCCTCCCATGGTGCTAGGATTTCAGGCATGAGCCACCACGCCCGGCCTGTTTCTTAAAGAAAGAACTGTATTATTCAAGCTGTTTTACACCTGTTGTTTCATATATCAATTGGTCTTGAATGTCTTGCCATGTTTACATTATGTCAAATTGACTTCATCTTGTAAATTCCTGTGGAATATTCCATATGTCCTTCAGTCAATCATTTATTGATAGGCTTTTAGATTGTTCCCCATGTGGGTAATATGAGTAATGCTGCAAGAATACTATCAGACACATACCTTTGGATCTTCTGCATGTACATCTGAAGGATAAACTCCTGTTTAGAATAGCTGTGTCAAAAACTAAGAACATTTTCAAATTTAAGATGTATTTCCAAATTGTCTTCCAAAAAAGGATGTATCAATTTTTCTTTCATCAACAGTGAAAGAGAGTTAGACAAACTACTGTTCTTATAACCTATTTCCACATGGGTAAAATGAATGGGCTGGGCTTTATGCATTTATATTCTAATTGCTTGATTGTCTCCTAAGGGCTCGTACTATGATTTGCTTGACATTAAATTCTTAGTGGGCAGAACATTGCTTGGCCCATAATAGGTCACCAGTAAGTATCTGCTAAATGAACTTATCTGTAGATCACTCCCAGTCTTATATTTTATGCATCAGTGGTAAAGATAATGTCAATGAAATCTCTTAGTGTTCTTTTATGGAAGTAGCATGAACTGCTGGCAATTGGTGATCAGGATGGCCCCTAATTTTCTTTTTTTTTTTTAAATTATTCCTGTATATATATTTTAATTTTATGCATAATCTTAAGCAAAGGCCTAGGACATTACTAAAAATTATTATGACTAATAAACAAATTTATTAAACCAGCAGAATATAAAAGGAACATCCAAGTGTCAGCAGCATATCTATATACTGACAACTATCTCAAAATGAAATCAAAGAAATTAATACACAATTGGAAAATTATTTCTCCTTTATAAATTGGCATTAATAATATTATTAAATATCTGTATTTTACAAAATAATGTATAGATATAATGCAAGCTCTATCAAAATACCAGTTATATAATTAACACATTTTTAAAAAATACATCTAAAATTTTTATATGGTACCACAAAAGATCCTCAATATCCAAAGCAATCAAGCAGTAGAAAAAGTGAAGGTATCACTCTACCTGACTTTGAAAGATACTACAAAGCTACAGAAAAAGAAAAGTATAGTACTTGAATAAAAATTGACACACAGGACGATACAGATAAAAAAGGAGACCAGAAATATATTAATGTATTCACAGCCAACTGTTTTTAAATAGAGGTGGCAATTTCTTAGGGAAATGGCAGTATCTTCAGTAAATGGTGTTGAGAAAATTTCATATCCACATTCAGAGGAATATCATGAGATCCTCAACTCAGATCATATATTACACAAACTAAATTAGATACTTAAATGTAAGGTCTAAAACTCTGAAACTACTACCAAAAAATATAGACTGAAAGCCCTGTAACATTTGTTGGGCAGTGACTTTTAAAATTTGAACTCAAATCCCAAGGAACAAAAAATTTTTTTTTGAAAAGATGAATCAGATTTGAAAATATATGTTTGTTTTTTGCTGTTTTCTCATTTGTCAGTCATAACCCTTGATGTTTAACAGCATGTTCTGTACCCATCACAGTGCATCAGAGACTTTAGGGCTTTTATTTTAGGCTTGAGGCACCTGGAGTTACTGGTGCTTACGGTAATAGTATGAAAGACACTGAAAGGGCAGCCTTGTTTTATGCTCCCATGACTGGCCACTGTGTGAACACAGTAAACTGGTTTGCATGCAAACTAACAGGGCATGTTTTAATCTAAAAGCTCCCATTATCTCCAGAAGTTTTCAGAGAAAATGGACAAGGAAATCACTACAGTTAGGTGACTAAGAATATAAACTGTAGATTAAATTTAAACCATTAAAAAATTTATAAATGGTAAGAGTAACAAATTTCTCCAAATTGTAATATTAATATGGAAAATAAATATTCCAAATTTACAGAGGTCATTTTAATGTTTTACAACATTTAACATTCGCACTTTACAATAGAGGATTCTGCATGAAAATCCATGTTGTGCTATCAGTATATAATAAATAACTAAATTTAAAATTGCTCACTATTAATTCTCTTAAACATTTAACTTTTATAATATATGTATGTTCTAGCAAATTATATATTTGCCACACTTTGTATAAGAATCTAGTATTTTTCTTTTACAAAGAAATACCAGGCTGATTTAATCCTTTCTTCTGTAGACAGTGTATGTCTTTTACGTTAATTAACCAATCTTTTTGTTTCTTTGTTTGTTTGTTTTTGAGACGGAGTTTTGCTCTTCTTACCCAGGGTGGAGTGCAATGGTGCCATCTCGGCTCACCGCAACCTCCGCCTCCTGGGTTCAGGCAATTCTCCTGCCTCAGCCTCCTGAGTAGCTGGTACTATAGGCAGGCCCCTAATTTTCTAAACTTCTTATTTAGTCCTTTTCAATTTGCAAATATAGTAGGTCAAAAATAAAACTGTGCCCTAATTCTCTCACAAAGATAGGCAAATGATCAAGAAACTCCTTTTCTGAACTACAGTGAAAAGGTAAGTAAATTGCTTATTCCAGAGGAGCTTCAGGCTGCTGCCTCTCCCTCTCATTAAAAAATTTTCCAAATACTTATTACAATTTCTTTTTTGAGACAGAGTTTCATCTGTCACCCAGGCTGGGGTGCAGTGGCATGATCATGGCTCATTTCAGCCTTGACTTCCTGGGCTCAGGTGATTCTCCCACTTCAGCCTCCTGAGTAGCTGGGGCCACAGGCATGCACCATCAAGCCTGGCTAATTTTTTGTATTTTTTGTAGAGATGGGGTTTCACCATGTTGCCCAGGCTGGTCTGGAACTTCTGGCTTCAAGCGATCCTTCGATCTTAACTTCCCAAAGTGCTGGGATTATAGATGTGAGCCACAGCACCTGGCCACTTATTACAAAGATTTCTGATAGAACATCCTCTGTTCTTACTGACAGTTTTAGGTTTTCATACCTATTCCTCTCTGAAGTAACTATAATGTTTTGGCTTTTCATGAGAATTTCTAAGAGCATATGGTAGAAATACAAGCCAGCAATTATATTTTCTTAGCTGAACATGGGAAAAATTGTAAAAAGGGAATGTTGTGCTGGAATGGCTAGGTCAGCTCAGTAATGGTAAAAAGGTTTTATGACTTGGAGCTAAATACAGAGTATTTTCTTCCACTTTCAAGTTTTCTCTTACCAGAGGATAAAATACAGTACATTGAAAAATGTGTGACACTGGGATCAGGTAGGCTTGGGTTCAAAATGTTGGTTCTGCCCCTTAGCAGCTGTAAGTCAGAGTATGTCCATCTGTAAAATAGAGATAATTATGCTACCTACGAATGAGGATTTTTTATGAAAATCAATCCTATTGCTCTTTGAGATCTCAGTGTAGTCATCATCTCCTCTAAGAAAGTATTCTTGACTCCCTTATCCTACAAGGTAAAGTAAAATGTTTTTTCTCTGTGCAAATTGCTACCACTCCTCACCTTCTTCCCACTTTACATCAGAATTCTATGCTATTGCTGCATTTCTTATTGTGTTAAAATTGCATCTGTATGTACCTGTCACTCCCACTAGACTGTGAGAAATTTATAACTCTTATCTCTAACACTTAATAGAGAAATGGCCTATCAAAAATATTGTCTTACTAAATATTTGTTGAGGGAATGAATGACGTATTTCAAGTGCTTGCACCATATTTAAAACATTGGAAACATCAAATAATTTATTTTTTGACTTTATCATAAATAGAGGGCTGAAAGTTTTATTAAAAACATTCATCTCTTGCCCGTGATGCTGTAACTACAAAATGTAAGGTTAGAACTGTTTGTTTGATTCATTCTAGGTAATTAGATACACTGGCAGGCATGGTTCATGGAAGGTTAAGATTTAACAAACTCGATGAATAGTAACAGGATGAAAATTTATTCAAACCTTTAGCCATAGTCTACGCACATGCATCCAGAAGGAAAGTTAATTGTTTGACCCTTTGTTCCTTTTTTTTTTTGTAAATATGTAACTTGGCAGTGTTGATTTAGATCATCAAAGCAATGTACTGGCGATCTTTTGCATTTGTCTCAGCTGCCTTTTTTCACTATATTGCAAATGATGTTAATTCTGTGCTTAATTATGCTTAACATAGTTTATATGCAATCCAGTGTTTACCAGTTGGACATAGTAAAAAATCTGTTGTTTTCTTTCCATTTTCCTTCTGCTTATCATTCGTTGATTTTTAAAAGCAGCTGGAATTGTTCCATGTGAATGGAAACCGTTATAAGGCTGTACAGTCTTCTCTAGAGAGAAATACATTTCTCTCTAGAAACCATCTTATATCAACTACAATCTTTGCTTTTTGAAGAGTTGATATATATTATCATGCAAACTTTTAACCTGATCTTTGCTGTCCTCTCAGATCAAAAGAAAATCTCCACTCAGATTACAAAAAAAAAAAAAAAAAAAAAAACCCAAAAACCAAAAAACCTCTCCACCTACTCAGGATTTTCCAAAAGCTAATGTATTCATCCATTGAAATAGAGCCTCCATCTATCCAAATTGACTATGATAGCCAGTCACACATGTATTGATGTTTTAAGGAAAAGATAAATGTTTGAGATGAGGGATATGTCAATTACCCTGATCTTATCACTATACATCATATGTATCAAAATATCACTATGTATAATTAGTCAATTAAAACTTTTTTTTGTTTTATTTTTATATTTTATTTATTTTTTAATGGAATGCTTCATGAATCTGCATGCCATTCTTGTATAGGGGCCATGAAAATCTTCTCTGTAATGTTCTGAAAGTGACAGAGGCAGCCAAATGCCTAGGCAGATAGGGGAGTGTCCCCAGTGCAACCCCATCTCCAAGCTGAAGCCAGTTTAAAGTGTGAAAGCCAAGCTACAAGTTAAATCTTCAGACCTGATTGATAACTTGTCTTCCTGTTTGGCACACTTTCCTCTGATCGATCCCCACCCTTCACCTATTTCATGTATATCTACCTTTTCCTAATTGGTTTTCTATACTGTCAGGCCCCTCTTTGAATGGTGTCTTCACGTTAATCTTTTTTGCCTACTCACAAACCAGTCACCATGCACTTCCCATCCTGTGCCGGTGCGGACCACAGACTCAGTTGGTAGAGGAGAAGACAGCCTGACTTCAGAGAAGAGACAACCTAACTTTGGGAAAGACGACCTGCCCTTTTCATCCCTTCTCCAGCTCCCCTCTCTGAGAGACGTTTTCATTGCTCAGTAAAAATTCTCCGCCTTCACTATCTTTTAATAATCCATGTGGTCTCATGCTTCTTGGCCTCTGGACAAGAGCTTGGACCTGCCGAGTATGGGGACCCAGAAAGGGTGTCATGCTGGCCCTTTTCCTTGCCAGCAGGGGCAGCCGTCCTGTGCAATGAGGCAAAGGGCCAGTTGAGGTGCTAACACATCGCTGTTTGTTGGACTGTGGACGGTGGAACGAAAAGAGCACTGCAACACCTCCTCTGGGGCTTCAGGGTTGAAAGCACTCTCATCTGGGTGCCTGCATTCCCCTTGAGGCAACATGCTTAGTCTAGCTGCAGTTTCCACTAGGAGCTTGCTCCTGTGTCAGCGCCCGGAGCAACCAGCTAGATCCTGCACTCACTCGCTCACGTGCTTCCTACTGCAAGGGGCTGAGTGTGGTGGGCCAAGCAGATGGGGTGTCCCTGCCGTGAGTCCAGGAAAGGGGTAAAAAAAAAATCCTGTATCAGTTCCAATTTTAGTATATGTGCTGCTGAAGTGAGCGAGAGAAAAAGTTGCTTAAAAAGCTCATGTTAATATAATGATTGGATATTTGTATCTTAGGTTCTGTTTTCTTTCTTTCTTTTTTTTTTCATTTGGAGTTTCACTTTGTTTCCAGGCGGGAGTGCAGTGTCATGATCTTGGCTTACTGTGACCTCCACCTGCCAGATTCAAATGATTCTCCTGCCTCAGCCTCCTTAGTAGCTGGGATTACAGGCACCCACCACCACGCCCAGCTAATTTTTGTATTTTTAGTAGAGATGGGGTTTCACCATGTTAGCCAGGCAGGTCTTGAACTTCTGACCTCAGGTTATCTGACTGCCTAGGCTTCCCAAAGTGCTGGGATCACAGGCATGAGCCACCACGCCCAGCCAAGTTCTCGTATTTTCAATTATTACGTGTGTCTTAGAAGTTGAAAAGCGAGTAGCCTTTGTTTAGTATTTACTTTATTATTTGATTTATCGCCACATTTATTTTAAATTTGGGAGGTATAGGTACAGGTTTGTTACAGGGTATATTGTGGGATGCTGAGGCTTGGTCTGTTGGTTCCATCACCCAATAGACCAAGCCTCAGCATCCCACAATATACCCTGTAACAAACCTGTGTTACACAGAGCACAACAGAAAGCTTTTTAGTCCTCCCTGATCCTACTTTTGGAGTCCTAATTGTTCATTGTTCCTATCTTTATGTCTGTGTGAACCCAAGATTTAGCTCCCACTTATAAGTAAGAATGTGTGATATTTCATTTCCTGCTTTTGCATTAGTTTGCTTAGGATAATGGCTTCCAGCTGCATCCACGTTGCTCTAAAGGACATGATTTAGTTTTTTATGGCTGTATAGTAGTCCATGCTACATTTTCTTTATCCAATCCTAGGTTAATTCCATGTCTTTGCTATTGTGAATAGTGCTACAACGAACATATGAGAGCATTTGTCTTTTGGGTAGGATGATTTATCTTCCTTTGGTATATACTCAGTAATGGGATTGCTGAGTCGAATGGTAGTTCTGTTTTTAGTCCTTTGAGAAATCTCCAAACTGCTTTCCAGAGTGGCTGACCTAATTTACATTCCCACTAAGCGTTTCCTCCACAACCTTGTCAACATCTGCTGGTTTTTAACTATTTTTGTCTGTACATCGCGATGACTTTTTAATAGCCCTTTTGACTGGTGTAAGATGGTGTGTCATTGTGGTTTTAATTTGCAACTCTGATTATTAGTGATGATGACCATGTTTTCATGTGTTTGCTGGCCACTAGTATGTCTTCTTTTGAGAAGTGCCTGTTTACGCTCTTTGCCCATGTTTTAATGGGGTTGTTTGCTTTTTTCTTGTTGATTCATTTAAGTTCATTATAGATTCTGAATATTAGATCATATATGGATGCATAGTTTGCATATATTTTTTCCCATTCTGTAGGTTGTTCTGTTCATTATTTCTTTTTGCTGTGCGTAAACTCTTTAGTTTAAGTAAGTCCCATTTGTCTATTTTTTTTTTTTTTGAAACAGTGTCTCCCTATGTCACCCAGGCTGGAGTGTGGCGGTGTGATTTCGGCTCACTGCAACCTCCGCCTCCCAGGTTCAAGCGATTCTCCTGCCTCAGCCTCCCAAGTAGATGGGATTACAGGCGTCAGCCACTACCCCCGGCTAACCATTTGTCTATTTTTTATTTTGATGCATTTGCTTTTGGGGTCTTCATCATAATTTTTTGGTTTAGGCCAGTGTCTAGAAGAGTATTTCCTAGATTTTCTTCTAGAATTTTTGTAGTTTGAGGTCTTACATTTAAGTCATTAATGCATCTTGAATTAAATTTTGTATATGGTAATAGGTGGGAGTCCAGTTTCATGCAGAAGAATTCTGCATATGGTTAGCCAGTTTTTCCAGCAACATTTTTTGAATAAAGTGTACTTTCCCCATTGTTCATTTTTGTTGACTTTGTTGAAGATGAACTGGTTGTAGGTGTGCAGATTTATTTCAGGGGTCTCTAAAATGTTTCATTGATCTATGAGCTTTTTGTTAGTATTCACTATAAAAAGATCATTTCGGTAGGCTCGACCATAAGAAATGAACTTATTTTTAAAAATTTTTATTTTTTTAAGTGTAAGATCAAAACTACAATTAGAATTAGTGTAAGTATTAAAAATCAATGTAGTTACGTGATTTTCTTTCCAAGAGTTCTAAGATCAAAATATTTATGAAAAACATTTTTGGTGGCTATCATGAATTTGTAAAGATTAACATAATGTCTGAGAGTCATTTTGCAGATAAAATTTAGGTCATTATAAAACATATGAGTTATGTTCTAAAATTAATAGTTATATTAATCAAGTGACTATTCTGTGTCAATTGTGTGCATACATTACAATGATCTGATTTATTCCTTAGAGAAAAAAACATTTAGAAGATGAGTGCAGTGGCTCATGCCTGTAATCCTAGTGCTTTGGGAGGCCGAAGTAGGTGGATTGCTTGATCTCAGAAGCTCAAGACCAGCATGGGCAACATGCTGAAACCCCATCACTACCAAAAATACAAAAATTAACCAGGCGTGGTGGCACGTGCCTGTGTTCCCAGCTACTCAGGCTGAAGAGGGAGGATTGCTTGAGCTCAGGAGGGGAGGTTGCAGTGAGCTGAGATTGTGCTGTTGCATTCTAGCCTGGGTGAGATGCCAGACAGAGTGAGATGCCATCTAAAAAAAAAAAAAAAAAGATGAGGACCTGAAAGTTTAAAATTTTGTTTATATTTAGTAAGTGGAAGATACAGGATTGGAGGCCACAATTGCTTGTACTAAATCTTATCTGTATGTATCTGTTGACACTACCTATCTTTCTTCACTTATTCTGCCACCTGGGGCCCCAGGAGATAGAGCCCCAGGAGATAGGGCCAAATCAAAGTTCCAGTCCTCTGCCTACTCTATTCTGAACACTGCTTCCACCCAGAATCCTTGCTGCTTCTCAGTAAACCGAACACATCTAGAAAAGGTACTTTTTGGTTTACTCTGCTTATTCCCCATGACTCTGTTTGTTCTAGAAAATTCTAAATGCCAGAGACTCTCTTCCTTTCTCTGATGCCGTGCTGGCACCTCTAGGTCGCTGAAGGTGCCTCTCAGATAAAATACATCAACTTAGTCAAAAGAGAATGAGAGAGGAAATAATGCATTAAAGGTCTCAACAACTTCCAGTTCTAATGTTGTATATGCCACATTTCTAAGGTTGCATAATCTTAACCAGAAGGTTATAACCAGAAGTTTATAAAATCTGCCCTCTCAGCCCTTAACACTATCTCCAAGTCCTTAAAAATGGTCTAGTCCTTAAATTGGATTCTTTCAATCCCTCTAGGGTTAAAATTGCTTTTTTTCTGTGTAGACAAAGGAAGCCAGATCAGAAGAGAGGACTGGACGAGAAAGAAGAGCGTTTGGGCACTTAATTGTTACTACTTTGAGCAACATACTTTGAACTCTGAATCCTCAGTTGCTTGTCTGTAGGATGTGTGTTTATGGTGTGTGGCTCACAGAATCTGTGGGAAGGCCTAAATGAAGTAACACATATAGAACCCTTAGCAGACTCCCTGGCATGTAGTAAGTGCTCACTAAAAGGCAGCTATTAATACTCTTCAGGGTCTGGGGCTCCTCCTTGAAAGAATTTCTAGTAATAACAATAATAATCACAATTAATATTTGTTGAGCACTGACCGTGTATCAGAGGCTCTTCAAACACTTTAAAAAATGTTATATATTTTTGAGACAGAATCTTGCTCTGTCACCCAGGCTGGAGTGCAGTAGTGCAATCTCAACTCACTGCAACCTCTACCTCCTGAGTTCAAGAGGTTCTCCTGCCTTAGCCTCTTGAGTAGCTGGGTCTACAGGCGTGTACCACCTTATCTAGCTAATCTTGGTATTTTTAGTAGAGATTGGATTTTGCCGTGTTGGCCAGCCAGGCTGATCTCAAACTTCTGGCCTCATGTGATCCACCCACCTCGGCCTCCCAAAATGCTGTTATTACAGGGTGAACCGACATGCCTGGTCTCTTCCAGATACTTTAAATACACATGTTGCTTAATCCTTGGGAC